TTCCCTTTAATCGATTATTATTAAATAAAAATTAATATAATAAAATTAATAAATATTTAATAAATCCAAAAAACATATTTATATAAAGATCCAACGTCCTTTCTTCAGTGTGTGTTTTTGAAATTGTAGAGTTAAAAACGCCCGTTATGCTATTTATTATAGCCGTGAAGTTAAATTGAACTTCCTAACCTCCAAATAGTGCTAACACAAATTTTAACCAGAATTATAAATAAAAAAATTAGAAATTATAATATTACCTGAAGAAATTGGAATAATCATAGTAAAAATTAAAAATTTGCAATAATGATATTAACATATAGACAAAATTTGAGGTTAGAAAACCAATCAATATATTTTTTACCTTTAATATTCTAAGTACATATTTCATGTTTGTTGGCTTAATATTAAATATTCTTAAATTGATAATATAATGTTAATATTTACCTTCTGATAAAGAAGATGAGTGATTTGAGTCATCTAAATTGTCAATATCCATACCTTGCTCTTGAACATATTGCATTCTATTTAATTCAGCGCGTATGGATTTCACCTCACGATATTGTTTGCTACGCATTCGCAATTGCTTTTTTTTCCTCTCATTATTTTCCATTATTAATTAACAAAAGAACAATAAAATTCAGGTTCACACAAAATGACATGTGCACTTGCACCATTCATGTCATCATTCTCGACGATGGAACATCGATATATTGAAAACTTCGATACATCGATTTCGATATTATCGATTTAAATTTAAATATTATTTTTAAATTAAATAAAAAGTAAAACTATATATAATAATGTAATTTATTAATAATATTATTTTGATTTTATCACTCGGTGGTATTTAATAATAAATTTAATTTATTTAATAATTTTATTATTATAATTTATTATTATTAATATTTATTCTTTTTATTATTATTTCTAAAACGAACATTTTAAAAATATTTGTGTCCCTTATTGAACATAATTAAATTCATATTTTAAATAAAGAAAACATCGAAAAATAATCTAAGTCCGATTCGAGGTATTTCTGGCTAGAATTTAGTAAGGGCTTAATCAGATTTTTCTAGTTTGAATTGCCTTTCTAGAATTCAAACGGGATCTCAGCAGATATTTCTAGTCTGAATTTCTCACAAGAATCTAATCAGGTTCGAGTACGATATTTTAGGCTAGATTTTCTAGCGCGGTTCTAGTCGGAATCCATTATCACGTTGGGAAGCTTAGGGACATTTCTACACGGGAAGTAAATCCCTGTCTAAATCTGACGTTACTACTCTTCCATTTGTGTATCTATATAAGAAATTTTAATTGTTTTCGATTAATCTAATCTAATTGAAACCAAATTTCATTTTCAAAATTTATAAAATTATTATTCATGTTTATTTTTAGAAAAAGACATGACTAAATATAATTAATTTTCAAAAATCTAACTGTAGAATTGATATTAATATTAATCATATTATACTAATACATTGATAAATATTAGTTATAATACAAAAAAAAATAATACAGATTTTCAATGAAGTGTTTACAAGAGACTTCACTCAACTATAATATAGCAATCGTTAGCATTTTAAGTGCAATTCTGCACAGTGGAATAATAACGATGAGAGGGAGACGCCCATAAATGGTCACTCATCTCATCAGGGATTTAACGTTTTATTACAATATCTGTAAAGGTCGACACTGTCAAGAGTGCACTTTGTCTGAGGTTAATGTGGAGCAAGATCACACCGATGAGAATTTTGCGGCGAATGGTAGTGACGCGAACATTATAATCACGACGATCCATATCCATAAGCTCATTCGCGAGCGTAGGAATATCCTCTACACACATATGCATCCATTTAAAGTAATTCTCATGTAAAACTTCAAGGAAGACGACTCATCTAAATTAAGATTCATTTATCTCTTTATTTCCAACTACTTAAAAATTATACTAGAAAAATAAAATTACATATGTGCTCGATTTATTATTTTTCATATATATAGTTCCCATATTTTGCAAATTCAATAACATATAAAATCGTAAATAAAAAAAAACAAATAGTATAATTAATTAAATGTATCATAAAAATTAAAAAATTTTCAATGAGATCATGATTTTGTAATTTTAATTAGATATATAATTTTGAATAATTAACGCTTAACTATTCAAAATTATCGTTAAAAATTTGTCACTGGCCGTTACAAGAATTACTTAATTTTATTAATATTTATTTATATTTCTAGCTTTTTGTTAATAAAAAAACACGATTTTGTTTACAAATTTGTTATTTATTAACACAAATATTTTTTTTCCAATATCAGATGAATTCACTGGCATACAGAATAGTAATCAATTTGATTTTTGTTTGTTTCAGATCACACCAACGACTGTTATCACCTGCGCCAGACATATACCTCAATTGGGTGCAAGCAAGTTTGCAATAGAGAACATCACGGCCAAACTCGGACAATAGAGAGCAGCAGCACTGTAAGATTTTAAAGCGTTAAATTTCAAATCGGATTTGTTGCATGATATTAAATAAACAAATATAAAATGTTTTTGTTCATTTAAAAGACGAATAAAATCATAAAATAAAAAATAGTGATTATAATAAAATGTGAATAACTATTTAAAAATTTCAGGAGATTGACTGGTACGATCAGTTGTTGTCTGTTATTGTCAGTCATTATTCAGCCAGCGTTGTAAATGGAAAGTGTCAGAAGTTAAAAAAAGTTATATAAGGCTCAAAATTTCTTAAATGAGCCACTAATTTTTCGATGGCGAGATTTTTATATATCATATTTTATAGTATTTTCGAATCAAAATAAGATTATAAAGTTGCTTGGCAAAATTTTAATTTTTTTAAGAGTTATTGTTTAAACAATTTTTAAGCATCCAATTAGTAAAAAAAGCTTTTTTACGGTTCTACTTAATGAATCTTGTAAAAATTTGGTATGAGTAATCACGGTGCGCCAGAAGGTGGTTTAAATAAAAATGAATTGGCACTTAAAAATTCTTTTTGATTATGATTCTTAGATGAATAACAAACATTTCTCAATAGTTTTGAAAGTCAGTTTACGTGCCCGATTTAAATAAAATTTATTTAATCTAATAAATACTGTAATAAATAATAAAATATTTACTTATTTTCAATTTTACATATAAATAATTATATTGCTGTAGTGTTTGTGTCCAATTTTAAAAAATTAAATTATAATGTTAAAAGAACGACTTTAAGAGTGACAAAATTTATTTAAGAGAGTCGAATGGTCTCTGAAATTTTTTGACAAGAAGAGACCTTTAATTATCGCTCTATAAAAACGGCACTAAACGTGAAAATGATAAACATTGATTTTAAAATACTTTCTTCTCGAAAGACGGACACTTTTTACAAAAGCAGCTAGAGATCCTTATCTTATATAAATTTGCTAAATCCTAAAGGTTAGACGAATCCATAAAAAAACACGAATGCAAAACGAAAAGTGATATAATGACAGGTACATTACCTCCTGCCGCCGTCAGATGGCAGCAGCATGCAGGGCGCACAAAGTCGCAGCTGTTATTAGATTACTTTTCTACTTTTTGTTTTGCAACCATGTTTTTCTATGGATTCGTACAGTCTTTTGGATTTAGGAAATTTATAAGATGAGGATTTTGGCTGATTTTATTAAAAGTGTTCGTGTTTCGAGAAAAAAGTATTTTAAAATCAATATTATTTCACGTTCAGAGCGATAATTAAAGGTCTCTTCATTACATACATATAGGTTTTTAATAAAACCTAACATTACTTCGTACTTAAACTGCGATTTTCAAAAAACATTATTAACTACCAGAATATATTTCTAGGTAAATACGTTAAAATTTCTCGCCCTTGTTGACGGAATAATCGCCTTTTCTAAAAAGTTTCGCTAGTTTTAAGAAGGAAGAAAAATTTTTTCAACTTTAACATTAAATAAATAATTGAAAATTATTTTTTTTTTAAATCAAATCAAAGACTTTATGCAGAATTTTATGATCTTTAAAACAAGACCAAGAACGTCAAAATCGGTTGAAATTTGTAGGCTCTATGTTATTTTGTCCACAGCCGAGTTTTTCGTCCCACTGTGGGGGCTTAGCACGTAGTTGGCGGAGCGCGATCACAAATATATTAATAACTTTTGAGCTAATGCAATATACTTTTCTTTTTTTTCAAATACTCGTGATAAAATAGGGAATCATAATTGACAAGAAAAAATACGAAATTAGTCGCAGAAGTTTATTTTATTTTAATTTATTTATAACAATTGTTGCTATTTTAAACAAATTATGGACAAAATCAAACCAATTTTTTTTCTTTGAAAGCATGATTCTTGTATATTACTCATAACGAATTTTTGCAAAATTCATCAAGTAGAACAGTAAAAAATTTTTTTTTACTAATTGGATGCTTAAAAATTGTTTAAACAATAACTCTTAAAAAAATTAAAATTTTGCCAAACAACTTTAGGATCTTATTTTGATTTGAAAATACTATAAAATATGATATATAAAAATCTCGCCATCGAAAAATTATTGGCTCATTTTAGAATATACCTAAATCCGTAGTCAAAAGATAGGTATATTAATTTTAACATGTTGCACTCGGAACCATATAGTGTTTTTGAAATTATATCCAGAATAATATTTCTAGAAGATAAAATTATTTTTATTGAAATCCAAGAAAAAAAGGAAAAGCAATTTTGATAGAAATTGAATTTGAAGTTGAATGCAATCAGTCAGTATTGCCGATTCATGATAAAATTCATTTTAGATCATCTTCTGACGATTCAGCGTATCTTTTACTTTATATGAATGTGAGTGTTTCTGTTTTTCTATTTCTCAAGTAAAAATAAAAATTATCAATACCAGACGATATATATATATATAGTGAAAAATTTATATTCACGTGGATGTAAATAATGTCACCTTGTCTCATCTAAATAATCAGTTTCCTCGAGTCTGCGGTCCTACATAAGGATCTAAGGTGTGGTGAATAATATTGTTCGGTCGGAGGTCACGAGGGACGAGTATATAACGTTAGTCTTCACACCTTAGATGATCAGTAGTGGGCTTAATATCGATACAACTCTAGTAACAATATCGCGACAATTAAACATCATATGAAGTCCACGATGTTGCTACTGGTGAGTGTATCAAGAATTTAAAGAGTGCTATTAGAAAATATCAAAATAGTAGAAAAAGAAATCTGAATTTCAAAATTTAAAATTTTTTTAAATTAATTATTTAATTCTAATAACAATTAAATCAAATATAAATTAGTGAAAAATGTTCCTAAATTATGTCAACTAAATTTCCTCATTTGTAATTCTAATTAATATCATCATTCCCATTTGTTAATTATATATTAATTTATAAAATAAATTTTTCCCACGTGAATTTGAAACGTCTCGGTAGTGTTATAAAGTGAAGATCTAGATTGAAAGTGATAAAAGAAAAAGGAAAAGTGATAATGCAAATATGGGTCCTTTTGGGTAGAATTCTATGTTAATTTATTGAATTAAGAAGCACTTGGAAGATCAAAGACCATATACGCAAAAGGTGAAGATATTGACACTTCTTTTTCGTTCCTAGTTCTCGGTTTCTCGCCAACATTTACTTTATTGGAAGCTCTATAAGTGTCATCGTTTTCACGACACCTCCAGCAAAAAAAAAAAAAAAAAAAAAAAAAAAATTCCACTTTCTTACGGAGAGAAAATATGGAAGACCTACATATTCTTAAGTAGGCGGTCGCGGCTGCATCTTTTATACATTTTTTTTTTTTTTTTTTGCTTCCAAAACGTTTTTCTCTGCCCAAGGTTAACAAACATGGAAAAGAAGCAATCTTCTCTTTTTTTTTTTAAAAAAAATAAACTTTTTCCCTTTTTAAATCGAGGCAAAAAAGAAACTTAAATTCCACTCTTTCATGAACGTGAAAACATCGACATCGAGAGCTTATTTAAAGGGGATGTTATACTATATAGGAAAACGTTTGAACGTATCCTCTTCATGTATATCAGGGATGTTATTTTAATCACTATAGAAATTCTGATGTGAAGCTTTCGTTTCTGTTTACCTTTCTCATCAGTTTTCAAATATATCATCGTACACTTTATCGAATTTATATATATTGTTTTAAAGCCACTTTTATTTATCAATTAAAAATTATTCTACTAAAAAGGATAAATTTTCAGTGTATATAATTTCATTAATTTATATTTTAATAAACCCAATTTTGCTAACCGATATTTGTTTTTCATTTATATTTATAATATACGGATTCTCAATAACTTTTCACTTTAAATATCATAGCCAATTTTATTTCAATAAAATCAGATAAAATCCACCAAAAACGTTATTTCCTAATTTTTATTAATTACTATTATTTATTTACTATTCATAACATAATGAAAAAATTATTTATTATATTTTTTATTTCTCCTAGAAATTTTTAATCGTAAATTGCAATTTACGCTAATCCCTTATATATACTTGTAAAAAAAAGTAAGAATCTCTTTTTTCAATTCTCTTTAATCCGGGTTTTTATTCCAAGTGAATTAAATTCGAATTTCATTTCTTTCCTAAATCCATATCAAATTCGATTCTGATAAATTCTTAATATAGTTTAATATTTTAATTCCACAAAATATGTAATTCATAATTATTATTATTATTATTATTAAAAATCAACAGATTAATTAATTTTATCCTTTACATACGAGAGATAATAAAATAGAATAAATTCTTCTGTCATATATGGCTAAAAATTCAATTTACCTCATTCAAAACAAATATTAAATATGCAACAGAACAAAATATTCTTTATTCAGGGAAAATCCTCGCATTTTGTGTAGAATTTTGTACTTTTTAATGCTGTACAGATAAAATATTTCTCTTTCATTTAAAAGAACTTTTTATTTTTCTTTTTTATTCAGTGATGTAAATGAAAATATAGAGATAAATTTTAATAATTTCTTTAAAATGTTATTGTATTTAAATTAATTGAAAAAAAATTGAAAAATTTATTGATTAATTTTTTTTTTAATTTAAATTATAATTTATTTCTGAGGATGTTTATCGTTAATAAACTAAATTAGTTTTTAAACTACATATTGGATTTTTAGATTATAAAAGTTGTCCCCAATATATGTACTTGAACATTAGCTATATTTTTGTCACCGAAGGTTTTTCTAAAAGCTTAAAGTTTGCAAGAAAGTAACATTTTAGACTTTGATGAATCATTGTAGGACTTAATAATTACTGTGATATTTTGGTTATTGAAACGATTCAATTGTCAACCTTTTTAGGCTATTTATTTAAAAAGTGAAATAACGTGGACATCACTCACTCAGAAAAAAGATATGTTTGAAACAAATGTACCATTTTTTTATATTTACCCAAATTTTGTTTGAACTAACCAAAAAGGTTAGTTCAAACAAAATTTGTTTAATTCAAATAAATATTTATTTGATCTAAATAACTGTTTGGTTTATTTTAATAAATTTTTTGAACAAAGAAAAAATTTGATTGAGCTAAATAAACGTTTGGTTTATGCAACCAAATGTTTGGTTAACTGTATATCAATGCATTTATTTTGTTGATTTAACCAAAATTTGGTTGCTTCAAATAAATTTTTTTCTGAGTGCTGCTATTATTAATATCCTTGAACGATTCAAATTTTTATTTTTACAACTATTATAAAAGATAAAAATTTTTTTATCCTATCGGTAAAAAGGTTATTGAAATTTTAACGATATAATAGTTTTTCCATAAAATTTTTGACTAGATTTTTTTGTTACAGCACGTTCTATCAAATATTGTATGTACTTTGATTTTGTCGAGTTGTGCCAGGTTATTAAATACCAATTTTTTTTATACCTAAATTTTTAATATTTTAATTGTTTATTAATCGAATTAATGTTGAAATTAATTCCGAAGATATTAAAAATTTCTTCTACAGAAATGACAACATAATTGACCACTGTTAAATAAGTGATATTCATCCATTCTACAGGTCTACAACCTGTTTACTATTTAATTCGTTTTATTTGTTGCACCTCATCATCGAACTCATATAATTTATCAATTTTGATAAATTTTGTCAACTTAGAACTTATTTATTGTCTTACAATTTACAATTGAAACCAGTAAACAAAGAAAAAAATTCTAAAAAATATTATGAAAAATCTGTAAAGTAATTTTTTCACATGTTCTGCTTGTTTTTTTTTATTGACATTGAGCAGTGGACGTTATCGGCTCTTTTGGCGGCTGCTCAGGCCAGTGTCTGGCCTTATCATGGATCAGTGGGATGGGTTCCAGCAACAGGTACATCATATGGATCTGCACCATCAGTCGCCTTGAGTGAAGCATATGCACAATCAAATGCCCATGCTCATGCTTCCAGTGTTGCTACAGGATCAAATAACATTTACACGCCAATTTACTATAAGGGACATGGTAGTCAATCAGCAATATCAAGTGCATCAGCTCATTCGTCCGCTGGTTCTGGTATATCTAGAGGTTGGTGTCAAAACATTATAGATAAAAGTAATGTGTAAATTAACGCAAAGTTTTTCTTAATACTTTATGACCTTTTGAAAGAAATTTCTACTGTCACAAAATCAAAAACTGGCGATGAGTATGTTGAGGAGCAATTGTGAATTAATATATAGAAGTTTTACTTAAATATGCAACATATATATGTATATCGATCCAGGAGAGGTACTTCTATTCACCCAAATAAATCTCGGTAATAACAGTGATAAACATTTATTAGAAAATAACAGATATAAGGAATATTATATAATAATATTATCTCATTAGGTTATAGACTACTCATTTATATGTCGAATGAAATACCATGTAACCACAAATAGAATATAACAGGCGAGAAAATTAACTTTTATAAAACTTACCGTGTTGATGAGTCTCTGACAAAATTTCGGCAACCTACCAGCGGCGTGGTTTCGTCGTCTGCTAGGCAATGCAATGCGCGCCATCTACAACTTGGCGGCGCGTTAATTCAAACTGAACAATGATAATAGTTAAAAAAAATAATTTTAAATCAATGTTTGTATTTTCTATTACAGGCTCTGCCTACGTAGCTGCTCCTTCAAGAGGACCAGTCACAATAGTTGGACCTTCGTCGTATCCAGTCTCAGTTATTGGATCCAATAGTGGTTCAGCTGTAGCAAATTCCATAGCTGGAGGTGGTTCAGCGGGTGCAACTGCAGTCATTGGACCAACATCAGTTCCAGTTTCAATAGTCGGTCCATCTTCTGGTCCAGTATATGTCACTGGCTCTGGTGATAGTTCAGCTAGTGCACATGCACACGCTACCTCTGGTTATGGTACAGCAGTATCTGGTGCATCCGTAGGACCAGTATCTATTGCTGGACCATCCACTGGAACTGTTTACGTTAAAGGTATAATTTTTTTTCAAACCTTAAAACCATATAACTGCAAAAGATTTTAAAAAATATGGATAATTTTTAGCTCCAGTTGCGCCTCCAGCAATAATTCGAGCACCAGTTGTAAGTCCTGTAATTGTAAGAAGTAGACCAGAACCTGTTGTATGGTGTCCGCCAGAAGTCACCGAATGGAAAGCTATTCCAAAACCAATTGCAATTTATCCCTCTCGTGTTGATCCGATTGTTGTAGCAGGACCATCAGCTGGTAGTGTTGCAATCACTGGTCCCACAGTGCCTTCTGCTATTATTTCTGGTCCCTCGGGAACAATTGCAACTTCCGGTGGTTCATCGTGGCCAGGAATCAAATATTGGTGAATAAAAAAAAAAAAAAATTGACAAATATTTCATCACAGAAACATAAACTTGAGGGAAAATATTGACGATAACGCTTATTTTATGTGTTCGAATCGAAATAGTATTTTTCATGTATAGATTTATATATATTAAATCATTATTCGTATTATTAAATCTTGTTCTTTTATTTCCCCAATTATTTGAAATTTTTGTAAAATTGTATTTGTATTCTTTACGTTACTATGAATTTGGTTAACTCAATCATAGATCATTATTCATATTATAATAAATACAGTTCTTTACGCAACTGTGTTTATTAATTAGCATGAATGAAATAAAGAGAACAAATGGGAAGAATAAAACAGTATCATATATTTTCATGCAATGATGGAAAATGCGAATATACAATGGATGTCATTTGCATAAATTGGAAATAATCGCAATACTAATTCTCTAATTATGACTTTTCCAAAATATTGATATTCAAGCAAGTTCCATTATCGTAAAAGTGATAAAGCTATTATTGACTAAATATACAATAACGTTATTTAATAACATTGTCAACCGTTAATTATTTTCGCTTATTATAAGCGAGTATATAATATATATATATTAATTTCAAATCGGTATATTCGTATTTATTTGGTGATAATTACATTATCACTTGTATATGTATAATTTTACAGAAAATAATCATATAATTAAACGAAATTAAAACGCAATCATTATACTTGATACTTTTATTTGTAATTAATTTTTTCTAGATTATTCTTTTTTTTTAATTCAATTTGATAAATTTTTTTTTAACCCTTTCGTTCCCATGGGACATATATGTCCCACCTACAAAAACCTCAATAACTCTGAACAAAATTAATATTTCTAAGTCTGCTTTGAGGCATTTTCTTCAGGAGGAATAGAGCTTTCAAAATTTCTAGACCAGGTGATGTCTAAAAATTTCTATTGTTTAAAAAAATATATAAATAAATATTAAAAATGACCAATTTTTAAAATCGTTCAGATTCGCTTGAAACTCATTACTCGGGGGTTTTTGGGGTCGCTGATTACGAATCCGGTGTTAGTTTTCAAAAATTCAAAATGGCGGATCCAATATGGTGGACGACTTTTGGAAAATCTAATGCAATTCGCTTGAAACTCGTTACTCGGGGGTTTTTGGGGTCGCTGATTACGAATCCGCTGTTAGTTTTCAAAAATTCAAAATGGCGGATCCAATATGGCAAACAAATTTTTGAAATTGTTAGATTCGCCTAAAATTTGTTACTCGGAGGTTTTCAAGGTCGCTGATTACGAATTTGAAGGCAGATTTTTAAAATTTTCATAATTCAAAATGGCGGATTCAACATGGCGGATAAAATTTTAAAAATTGACCCAATTCGTTTCAAACTCGCTTCTCGAGGGTTTTTGGGATTACTAATTACGAATCTGAAGTCAGATTTTTGAAATTTCTAAAAATTCAAAGATGAATCCAATATGGTGGACGAATTTTAAAAAAACCATGTTGTATCCGCCATTTGGAATTTTAAAAATTTGAAATATCTGACCTCATATTCGTCATCAGCGATCCGAAAAACTGTAAGAACAATTGCACTTTTCTTTTTTGAAGTTCTCAGATTAGCTTGGGAACGAAAGGGTTTTTGGATTTTTGTTTCTTTAATTATATCAAGAAAGTTTTTTCATAATGTACGCAAAAATAAATCACAAACAAATCAAATTGACGTAAAAATTATATATTTTTCAACAAATTTATTACATTATATTTTTTTATATTAAAAATATTACATTAGACATGTTAGTGAAGATCATTAAATTAAACTAAAAGTAATAACTACGCATTCACAAGAAAACCTATTGAAATTACTATATACCTTAATTGAAAATGTCTATTTTTGAATTTTTATGCTGTTATTGGTATTTTAGGTGTAAAATATTTTTCTAAAAACTTTAATGTTTTACCATAGTTTACAATATAAAAATGTCCAATTTGCCTAAAAAAATCTTTTATCATTTGAGAAAGTGGATTTAAATTGTCTGCTATATTTTTTGCCTTATCGGACACTTGTTCTTGTACTTCTAAAATTTGTTCTCCAAATGGTTTCGAGGCGGAGTAGTGAATCATCTGCAATTAAATTAAGACATTATTATTGACGAATTATTATAATTATCCAATTTTATATTAGAAAACATTCATTTAAATAAATCTTTTTAGCAACATCATGAAAAATTCTATAGAGCCGTCGAAGGAATCTTATTTAAATTTTAATGAATATTCTAAAAATTTCATAGAATTTTAGGGAAACTTTCTAGAATTGTCTAGAAACTTTATGGAACCTTTGGAAAACTGCTTAGAATGTTTTATGAACTTAAAAAAAAACTAGTAGATTTGATTACTTTTTTAACTACTTTGCCTAGTACAATAGTTCTTCAACTGAGAAATTAATTTAAATTCAAATATTCAGTGTAGCATTTTATTCCGTTTATTACATTGAAAGCCCGTATATAGTAATTAAAACCATGAAAATCATTCATGACTTATGACAAAGCATTCACTAAAATAACTTTGCAGTAGGTTTTTAATAATTTTTTGATTTTCTTTTAGTATATTCTAAGATATTTTTGTTGCAAGAGATATTACTATATAAACATTATAATAGGCAAGAGTTAGAAAAATGGAATAAACAAATATACAAAAAAAAAAAAACTATAAGATGCAGAAAAGCTTGCGAAAGTATAAATAGATAATCGAAGCCAGAGGCAGCATCCGGTGCAACAAGTAACTGCACATTATCGTTATATCCAAGCTGTGAGTTTATAGTCGATCTCGATTACGACTAATACCCAGTCTCACATAGAAACCAGCCATTACCTTGCGACAGCTGCTACATTTGCGTTTGATTGCTTTTATAGTACTCGAACTCTATTCTAATGTCATAGCACACGTACAAATCATACATTAAAATGAACCGCCATCAAATGAATCGTGAACGTTTTTGTCACACAACACTGCACTAACAATAATATTCAAGATTTACTGTATTGTATATATATATATATAGATAAGTAATAAAAAACATTTATAATAAATCTCATCTTCTTGTGCAAAATCCATTAGAATCCAAAAAAAAGACACAAACAAAAATATTTCTTTTAATTAATAAAAATAATATAATAAACTCAATTTTTATATTATTTTCATAAATTATTCCCTCATAACAAAATGATATCCCTAGGATATCCATAGGATATCCATATCAATGGTCGATATCCTAGAATGGTCCCCAGGATATCTTAGGATATCCCTAGGATATCCAAACCGCCGGTCTGTGGGACATCAACAGGACATCCATAGGATATCCACAGGACATCCATAAGATATCCACAGGATATCCCTAAGACATCCACAAAATATCTATTGGATATTATATCGCAGGATATCCATGGGATATCCTCAGGATGTCCGTGGGATATTTTTAGGATATTCACGGGATATTTAATATCTCAACATATATTTTTAAAGGTTAAAATTGTTAAGCTAATATAATGAATAATAATATAATAAAAACAAAAATCTTATGAGCTTCTAATTTATTTTAAATGAAGATTTGAAACGCATTTTTCAAAGTTTTTAAATAAACTCATGCACTTAATGTTTAATTAATATTAATAGTTATTCGTTATTTGCGGGGAAGAATTTATATTGTTTAAAGCCAATTTATTTTCTGACAATATTAAGCATATGAATAAAGGAATGAATCACGAATGAGAAAAAAATTAGTTAATAATTTTTCAAATTAAACAACTTTCTCGAAAAACAAGTTGCATTTTATTTTATTTATATAAAATTTAATTCACAGAATATTCTCACTCGTAGTCTCATAATGACTTTAAAAACAGTATCCTGAGAATATCTTCTTGACATCCAGAAGATATACTGAGAATATCCTGAAAATATCTGTGGGATATCCTGACGATATCTATGGGATATCCTGATGATATCTATGGGATATCCTGATGATATCTGTGGGATATCCTGACGATATCTATGGGATATCTGGAGGACATTTATGAAAGTCTATAGAGATATCCAGAAGATATCCTGTGGATATCCTCAGATATCCATGGGATATCCAAAGGATATCCAAACCGCCGATTTTTTGGATATCCTTAAGAGATCCTTTTGATATCCATAGGACATCTCTAGGATATCTGCGGGATATTATCAATATATCCCAAGATATCATGTGTTATTAGGGTATAAACTGAAACAAAATATTTTTATTTGTGTCAAATATTTAAAAAAAAAATTTCTTCAAAAAGAGTTTGTTAATTGTTATTCTAGGGTTTTTGATGTTGCTGACTATGAATCTGTTATAAAATTCTTCATAAAAAATTCTTATACAAAAAGTTTCATAACAATATAATCAAATTTTGATTTTTTTCATCCCCCGTATTGGATCCGCCATTTTGAATTTTTAAAATCTGATATCAGATTCGTAATCAGCGATCCCGAAAGCTCTCGAGTTAGAAGTTTCAAGCGATTTTGATGAATTAATAATAATATTCCGCCATTTTGAATTTTCATAATCCGATTTCAGATTCGTAATCAGTGATTCCAAAAACTTGCACAAATAACCATTAATATTTTTGTTTCTTATCAAGATGTTGGAAATTTCTTTTTTTTTTTTATTTATTGCACATTACATTGAGAATAAAATTTGTTACAATAAAATTTCACTCCCAATTGAAAATGTGATAAATATTTTTTTTTATATATATATATATTAAATGTGAAGAGAGAACTTTTTTAAACTTTTGGAGAATTTCACTCTCAAGAAATTTCAAGAGCTCATAATATAACCTACAAAGATAAGAATAAAAGTTATGGCAATGGTAGCAATAGTCAGCGTAGACAGTTATAAATGAGATTGAAAAAAAGGTGGAGAAAGAATGTAAACTTTTAGATAAAAATATCAGGATGATCAAAAAAAAAAAAAAAAAAAAAAAAAAGATCTCTGTCTATCGAAGAATGGACGATTTTACCCGCATTTCTATATTTATGTTCCTTTAATTAACGAGGAACATATTGTAACAGAGGAGATTTTTACAAAAGTGGAAGTAGAATTGAAATTATTTATAAATAATTTCATTTATTTAGCATT